AAAACGAAAGTAGAGATATGCCACATGGCTTGCCAAGGTCAATCGAGTGATTTCTATTGACTTTATCGATAAAATTGGGAGCTCCTGTGCTTTTATAGACGATGTCAAACGTTTTCATCTAATTCTTAAAAGCTATATCTCCTTTTTCATGGCAGTGATGTTGACTTAATTTATCTTAACCAATGTAATCACTGGTAATCTTGTGCTACGGTCGTTGTCAAATTCGTGCTTGAAATCTATGTACACATCCGTATAATAAAAGCGTTTGTATGCCTCAAATCACGCGATATCTAACGAGATTTTATGAGAGTGGCTTCAAAAATGGATACCCAAGCGAACCAAAAATACTTTAGACGAATCTTTTGTAGAAAAGCGGTAGGTTTCTAAATTAAATCGGTAGGCGGGAGTTGGAGTGAAAAAGCGGTAGACTCCCGCCTAAATCGGTAGAGTTAACATGTATGCAAAAAGATATTTCCATCTCCCTATGACAAGCCCAAACAAAATTAAAGCACCACACATTGGTAAAACTGTTTTGTATTTCAATCATTTCATGTGAATTTGTGAATTCCAAAACTAGAACTGTCCAAATGGGACAAAATACCCCCCGCTGGGTTTTTCCATGATAAAGATTTGCATCAAACATGAATTATGAAATTTTTCTTCCAGTGACCTTGAAATTCCCAAAATGACCTTGGGTCAAGGTCATAACAAACCTTTGGGTCATGGGCAATCTTTGTGTGAAATGAGAACCTACCAAGTTTATCCATAAGAAAGATATGGACTAGACACGAATTTTGAAATTTTTTCTTCCAGTGACCTTGAACTTCGTTTGTGGGGGGTATAAAATAAAAAAAATTAAAATTCCTACCTATTGCTTTTTGTTCAAAATGTAACAGTAAACAAACATACTCTTTTGATTTGGCCTAACTATGATTAAGTGATAAATAGTGTACAAGGTATTTGAGATTACAAAATATTGGTGAATTATATAGGTACTTTATTGAAATAACAAAATATTGGTGAATTATATAGGTACTTTAGATCTGAAACCTGTATAACTTCTTTTGTTGCTGACATATTGACCATATCCGCTGCTTTGTAGAAATATTTGCCGTCCTGTGCACCAAGTTCTTTACAGCGAGCCACGACCTGAAACAGATATCTGACAGCCTGAAAATCATTGCATAAATACGCACACTGTAAACTAAATCTGAACATAAATACACATACTGTAAATTAGATCAGTACAGAAATAGGCATACCATAAACTAAATCAGTACAGAAATAGGCATACCATTAACTAAATCTGTACAGAAATAGGCATAACGTTAACTAAATCTGTACAGAAATAGTCATACTGTAAACTAAATCAGTATATAAATAGGCATGCCGTACACTAAATCTGTACATAAATAGGCCTAGCATACTGTAAACTAAATCAGTACAAAAATAGGCATACTGTAAACTAAATCTGTACATAAATAGGCATGCTTTTAACTAAATCAGTACAGAAATAGGCATAATGAAAACTAAATCAGTACAGAAAAAGGCATAACGTAAACTAATTTTTATTCCCATGTGAGAAATATTTCGGGAGTTCCGCGACCTAGTTTATCACCTGAATATAAATCAAAGCCAAATCAGTTCATAAATAGGCACACTGTAAACTAAATTTTATTCCCAAGTGAGAAAATTTAGCGAGTTCTGGGACCTAGTTTATCTTGTGAATATAAATCGAATTGAAATCAGTACATAAATAGGCATACTGTAAACCAACTTTTATTCCAGTGTGAGACATATTCGCAAGTTCCATGACCTATTTTAACCAGCGAATAAAAATCAACACGATCCAATCATTTTGCCAAAGTATTTGTAGAGAACGCTTTCTCAGTCACAAACATAATTGTGGCAGGATGATTTCAATTTAGTGACAAATGGCGAATAATAGTTGACATGAATAATAGTTGGTTTACAGTATTCAAAATCCAGGGCAATCACTAGGTATCATATTGAGTTATTTGCATAATCATAAATTAGTGCTATATACACATGCCTGTGTCCTGTACTGTATTTATTTAAAGTGATAAATTTGTTAACAGTACTAAAATTAACTGAAATAGGTACCCACTATTTTCAGTACTCATACAGTACAATCTGAATTGAGAAAAAAAAAACACATTTAACAACACTAAGCACATTTTTTTCAAATTTTCTTTCTACTTAACAATTTTTGCATATTAAAACTTTAAGACAAACCAAAGCACTAGATCCTGATCCACTTAAGGAAGCTATCCTGCACAGGAAATTAACAGTTATCAAAGAACAATTGTAAGAGCTAGGGTCAGTTATAAAGTACAGTACACTCTCCTGATTACATTCAATGTGTAGACAGTTTTCTTCAGGACTTCACATAGTTCTGATGTATAGAATATTTTATGAACAGCAAAGCACATGCTCTGCTCTTCAATGAATTACAAGACTTGAGAGGCAATATAGGCTTTATCATGATAAATCCTTATCTTTTTAATATTTAAATTTAATACATTTTAATTTCATAAAAACACTAATCAGCATTCTTTTAATAAAGAACAAGGGACTGAGAAGCAAGCTCATTATCCCTCTGGTCACTAATACAGTCAAACCTGTATTAAGCAGTCACCTACGGGATCTATCAAAAGTGACCTTTATAGAGAGGTGACCTTTGGATAGAGGTTTATCTTTTTTAAAAGAATTTATATGTCAGTTTTGTGTATATATATTATGTATTTCGCTAGTACAAAATATACAAGAAAGATAGGTATTGGACATTAGTGATCTCACTTAAATTGTTATTTTATTCAGTAGATGCATTTCTTTTAAGGATCAATTCAAACATAATTTAATGAATCCAAAAAAAAAAAAGATAAAATACCTGTATATTGAATCTTACACTTACAGGGTGTTGCATTATCCTCCTACATCAAAACAACATTCTTTTTCTTGTGTATGGAATGAATAAAACATGCAGTCAATTTTTTTTTAATTAATTAATTATTTAATTGATTAAAAAATTAACCTCTGTACATGTTTTTTTTTAAACACATGTACATGATTTGTTGTATGATAAACTCTCAGACTACTCTCAGTTGATCAACAGGTGTACAGGTGTCCTGAGCAATGAAGCGTTACTAATCCCTAACGGTCGTTTCCTTTGTGAAATTCACAACATACCCAAGCCACAATGTGTAGATAAACCGTAATTATGGCTTCAACAAATGATGTAAGTTTCCTAGGTGTGAAAATTAAAATGCCTATCAAGCGTACGTAATACATTTACAACTCTCAAAGCATGCAGAGTTGGGCACGATATTGACAGTGCACGACTCTGTGTAAATGGTAAACAAAAATATCATATTCATTAAGAGATGTTTATTACGTTGTTCTTTATTAAAACTTGATTAAAAATCCAGAAGATATAAGTTACTGATAATCAGGTGTCGATAATAATAATATTCTTTTTTTTTCCTGTTAATAAGCGTCATAAGCGTAGCCTGTTAGAGTTTTGTAAAATATAGGCTAGAAGCAGTTAGTTTGTAAAATGATTCATATGCATATCCAGTAATATAATTCGCATTAAATAAAGACCAATTCTTAATTTTTGTTCACGATCCCGCAACACTTGACTGATTATTTACGTTAGTAACAAAAATTGGGAATCAGCTGACTCCAGATCAGGTCACGTGATTGGACAAAATGGCCGCTAAAGACAGGGAAAAGTGGCGATTTCGTTTGAAATTTGATGACCGCTGACCGCGTTACGCAGGTGACCGCTTAATAGAGTTACTTTATATAGGAAATTTCATTGGGAGGAAATAAAATGACCGCATAGGACAGGTGACCGCTGGATAGAGGTGACCGCTATGACAAGTTTGACTGTATATATATATAGACAAATGTACCTTTTTGAGTATATTCTCTCTCCGTGCCGTTACAAGTACATCGGCCCCCATATACGCTATCTGTTCACCTATTCCTGTATTATATGATTGATTGAGACATGACAACTGTTACCTGTTTGAGTATATTCTCTCTCCGTGCCATAACTAGTACATCGGCCCCCATACGCGCTTAGTGATATGCTATCTGTTCACCTATTCCTGTATTATATGATTGATTGAGACATGACAACTGTTACCTGTTTGAGTATATTCTCTCTCCGTGCCGTAACTAGTACATCGGCCCCCATACGCGCGTAGTGATACGCTATCTGTTCACCTATTCCTGTATTATATGATTGATTGAGACATGACAACTGTTACCTGTTTGAGTATATTCTCTCTCCGTGCCATAACTAGTACATCGGCCCCCATACGTGCGTAGTGATACGCTATCTGTTCACCTATTCCTGTATTATATGATTGATTGAGACATGACAACTGTTACCTGTTTGAGTATATTCTCTCTCCGTGCCGTAACTAGTACATCGGCCCCCATACGCGCGTAGTGATACGCTATCTGTTCACCTATTCCTGTATTATATGATTGATTGAGACATGACAACTGTTACCTGTTTGAGTATATTCTCTCTCCGTGCCGTAACTAGTACATCGGCCCCCATACGCGCGTAGTGATACGCTATCTGTTCACCTATTCCTGTATTATATGATTGATTGAGACATGACAACTGTTACCTGTTTGAGTATATTCTCTCTCCGTGCCGTTACGAGTACGTCGGCCCCCATACGTGCGTAGTGATACGCTATCTGTTCACCTATACCTGTTGAGGACCCCGTCACAACAACTCTTTTTCCTTTTAGTACATCTAAAAGAAAAAACAACAGTGCTGTATGATAAATTCATGTACAGTTCTGAATCAAATTATATTTCATGCAGTTTACCTAAATTGACCTCTGCACCTATATGAGGTACTACTATAAAGCAACTTTTATTCATGTGCGGGAAATATTCCTGAGTTTTGCAACCTACTTTAAGTCGCGTACATTAATCGCCGTGAACCAATTATTTTGCTTTGTTTTTGAAGAACACTTTTCCTAATTCGTGAAAATTAAATGTTGCAGACCGATTTCAAACTGACGAATTGCTAATAAAAGCTGACACAAATAACAGTTGGTTTACAGTATGTGTCTGTGTACCTGATCAACACGTGGGGATCACAGTTGGGGGATGCTCTCCCCACATAGGCACCTGATCCCACCTCTAGTGTCTCTAAGGTAATTTCAGAAGCTGAAAAAGCTTCAAAGCTAGCCTTGCGAAGTGCAGGAGCATAGAGCACTGTGACTTAAGTAAAATAAAGAGAGAAAATAAAATCGTACCTGGGTTAAAATCATCGATCAGCCAGTACCCTACCAGGACCCCTATAAACAGGGCAAAGATCTTCTTCCACATAATACCACTGCGTCACTCTGGAATATAAAGGAAATTAGTGAAGATTCAATTTTGAAATAATGCTGCATGGTCAGTGCATAAGGAAATGTTTAAATAATTTATTGACCTTCATCGCAGACCAATTTAACAGTCAAGTCATACTTGCAGGTCAAATCTAAATTTGATCCAAAACCTGTATCCATCATTGGAAATATTATAACTGCTTGTAAATTAAAGGCCAGATGTGCTTAAACCCTAAAATACAAGCCATCCAATCCAAATGAGGTAAATTTGAGTCTGGAAAGTTGTTCTTGCATGACCTTTTGATGTTTAAGAACAACTGGCCTTGACCTGATGTGAATTTGCACTAGTCTTTTATTTCACTTAGCTTGCAGTCAACTTAACCAACAAGGTCAGCTGCCATAAATACAGTTTAAGTATTGTGAGCAAAGTAGTGTCATTATATATGTCGAAAGCTGCTAACTAAAAAAAAAAAAAACAGTGAAATAAAAATTTGAAAAAATAAAGATACAATGTTAAGATTTCTAGTCCTTGGTCCAAAAGAAAAAACAAAAAAAAAATCAAATCAAACCTGTTCTTTACTCCTTCACAGTCCACCCTAGTCCGTTTGATATACAGTTTTATCTTTAACAGTCAGAAATTCAACAGTGTGTGAGTTAGCATTGTTTACAGGAGAGGGGGAGATATAGGTATAGATATAACACTAGGTAGATGTAGATTACACTTAAGTAAATTTAGACACCTAGACAAAATCTGTGTCATCTTAGTGGTTTTTACCCGGTGTTGTTAACTCTGAAGTCCATGCGAGAGAGGTTCATTTTACTGATAAAATTAAACATGACATTGCCAAGGACACATATTGAATGCTCTTCTATGAAATACATTCAAAATGCTACATTTTTGGTCTGATTTCAATGTAACTTGGCACACAAGTAGACTACACTTAGATACATAATTCTGCCAAAAGGTTAATGAGATTTCGATGAATAATAATTCTACAGGGCCTCAATAACTATAAATACACCCATAATATCTATTCCTCCAAGAATCTATG